AAAAAAAAAAATTGTCATCACATGAGGACTTCACTTAAGTCCGAGAAATATAAAAGGAAAATGCGCTGAAACTTTCTAGCTTTCAGAAATGACTGCCATCTTAAGAGTCAGGATCTGAAAGAAAGAGAAAATCCACTGAAATCATTCGTACGCCATTTTGAATCACTTACATTACTTAAGTAACAGAGAACTGAAGTAATGTTTCTTTATTGACTAAATGGGCAAAGTTAACATTTAAATACGTACCATTTTATAACCGCACAATTTCAGGGACGATCAGCGTACTTTTAAAAAAAAAATCCTTTAGATTAAAAACAATTTCGTTAAATAATTTTACCTTGGTATCGGTGTTGAAGCTTGCCGAGCACTTGTCCTGGTCTACCGAGTACGGTATGAACGCATCAAGTTGGTAGCCCTGCTGGCCGACGCGTCCGGGACTGTCCAGTACAATTCTGTCTTCTCCGACGTCCAGCGTTACGTCGCGGCTATTTGTCTGTTACAAAAACAATTGACAGATGACGACTGAAATGCTCCGGCGAATTTATAATTCAAAAGTCCCACAAAATCTATAAAAAATAATGAATGGTTTCTTGTGTTCTCGTGATTTAACGCAGATCGTCGAAAGGCGTCAGAATGATTAAGACTCTTTTTTTTTCAGTAGATATGCAACTTTTTATGTTTTCCGTCAAATCACAATTTTAATAAGATAATAAAATATAAAATATTTAAAATATCATTTCACGTGAAATAATCCTAGAATGACAAACGTCAGTCGCACACTGTGACTTCCTTTCTAAATTTCAACTCGTTACCCCCGAATGTCGAGCGTCCTTAACAGGGTTTACGACGTACCACGTCCTTCATAAAGAACTCTGCCACCAAATATTCAGGGGGCTCGGATCGAGGCGGTTCCCGTCGGATCCTGTACCGCGGCTGACGACTGGACGTGTGTACGGGAGGTGTCATCTCCTGGATGAGGGGGCCCGCCGGCTTCCTTGATCCTGTCTGCCTCACGCGATGAGGCAGGAGACAACCCATTACCTTCCGGTTCTTCAAAATTACATAATCTGTAACAGAATCATTCCATCCAGTGGCGTCGCATTGTCTCCGCTCCGATCGCTTTTAGAGTAGCAGTCGACGTACGTAGTTCAGATTTCATCATTTTTAATGGTCAATGAAGCTCGGAGTTATTATTTACTGGCCAAAAATATTAGTGTCCGTAGGAGACGCAAAATTTTCTTAAAACTTCAAAACTCAAAAATCTTTTTACCTTCTGTTGCAAGATGAAGACCGTACTTGTCCATTAATCCTTCCATGACGACAGTAAGTAGAAAAGTGAGAAATAATTTACTATTTTCTGTTTTCTTGTAGAACTCGGGGTTAATGGCCACGTCGTAGGCGACTGTGGGATTCCCCGCTGAAACGATAAATAATCAGATATCAATGGAAAATATTTCGCTGCTCAATTCTCGGTTCTCTCGAGGATTCAGGAATTCGTCGACCCTCGTAACTGCTCGCGTGTCATCCGTTTTATTCCGTAATCGCCAGAACGCTTAAGAAATATTTCCCTTGGTTTCCGGATGAAGCCGGAAGGAAGTCTAATGGTCTTGAAACAAAACAATATTTTTGTAAGTACATATTCAGATTTATACTTCTAGAAAAGAACAGAGAGGGTTTGGGGAAAACCATGTTTGTTCGGTGCGTAGGCTGCTTTTTTTTTAAGATTTCATATTCTCGTGGCAATCCAAATACACGACACAACCGTAAAGAAAATTAACTTGAAAATTACGTACGTTTTTACAATTGATTTGTCTTCCGCTGTACACATTTAATGAAACAGAGTCCCGATTCAGAAGCCGACAGTCCCTGAACTAGTCGAGAAATTCCATGCATTTCATGGAACCCAAAGATTTACTACAAGAACCCACCACGATCCATATCGATCCAGTCCATGATCTACAAAAAAAAACCTGAAGATCCATTTTAATATTATCCTCCCATATAAACCTATGTCTTCTGAGTGACCTCTTCAGGTTCTCATCCATGTTACGCTTCTCTTTGCCCACCTTGTCCTCCTCATTTGATTGTTTTTAATGGTAGTAACTGAAGAAAATGTGTCGTAACAGCCGCGTTCTTTTATGATTTTTCACCTGGCTCGTTATTGAAACATTTTGTGTTGTGATACGCATACAAAACGTCGAAAGCAAATTCTACGAAAGAAATATACAGCAATTGGCAGAACTGTACGGTTCCGAGCTCCATAAATTGACCTTTGTCCGCTTCCTCGTGAGCTTCGCCGATGCTCATGGGTACCCGGAAGGACGAGTGGTCATCGGAGGACCAGATCTTCACAAGAGTTTCCTCGCTGATATCGTCTGGGCCTGGCAATTCAGGCGTCTGGCAGATGTTTATGAACACTTTGTCTCCATCCTCAGTGTGTGTTTTCACACATATTCCTGTTAACAACAAATGGGAAAATTTTCATTAATTAAATTTTTATTAAATTCTGATTAATCAGTAGAGCGCGTCCCAAGAGCTGGTGCTGTTTCCAGGACCTCCCAGTCCCTTTTTCTGTACTTAACTTCAACCCTGAAGATGGGGGCGGTAAGTACATCCTAAACATTGGTGCGACAACCCAAAAGATTTCAACTTTTTTTTCCTGCTATGAGAATCTCAAATCTCATACGAGCGTCGTAATTTATAATTTTCACGAAATAATGAGACAAGCATACAAATAAGGATGAGATGGACAGGGAATGTAGCACGCACAATGTACAAAATCTTGGTTGGAAGACAAAGGCCAAGGTGTAGAAGGGATGATAATATTAAAATTGATCTTCGAGTAATAGGGTGACTAGATCCATGTGGTTTAGGTTAGGGGTCGGCATCTCTGAGATATTGTAAACATATTATTAAAACTTCGTGTCTCATAAAAGGTGTGGAATTTATTGACCAGCTGAGCGACTATCATTATTATTGTTTGCTTATCCTGAAGCACACTGCGCTCCATGCGTCCATCTATTGTTACCAACAGCCATATTTTTCGTTTGCGCGTATCTCCTCGTCTTCACTGTTTCTGAATGTGGTCTGGACTTTAATTACACGCATGCGCAATAACAGAACAGGCAGAACAAACCTTCTGGCTGTCAAGAGCGAGTGAAGGAGGAATCAGACCATTGTCGACGGTTCAAATCACTCACACAATAAACGTACTGCAAGTATCAGGCAAGCAGGCAGCGTAAGAAGGTATCTGACGGTTCAGACACCGACATATGAAGGTATTTAACGCGAAAAATGGCGAACAGCTGTACAGATTTGTGATAAATATGAGGCAGATTTTACCATTTTAATTAAACTCACCTTTCTGAATACATGACAAATTACGTAGTGCGTAAAATGCAATATTAACCTTGACTTTATGTAATGCAATGCATAACTTCAAATAATTATTTATCTTTGTTTACTGATAATTTATCTTTGTTTACTGATAATAAATAAGACGCGTGTATCTCTAAATGTACCATTTCCTGACATCCGCATTCTGTCGTGATAATATGTCAGAGTAAGGATTTGAGAGGAGGGGGGGAACCAGCTTCATGCCCCGCGCCTGGAGACGGCAGAGCGACCCTTCAAGGCTCGTCTAAATAGCATTTTATAATTCAGCCCGTACCGCGAAGAAAACACCACGCTTCACCATTACAAAGATCAACTGGTTAACGCTGTTTAAGGAAATAATCGCTGTTTATAATGAGACACGCAGTGCGTACATAATATATAAACATTCAGCCCGTACCGCGAAGAAAACACACCACTTCACCATTGCAAAGACCAAGTGGTTAACGCTGTTTAAGGAAATAATCGCTGTTTATACAGAGAATCATACGAAACCCAGACAAAATTAAGAGTTATTGATTGTTAAATGTGGTGGTACATATAGTTACCATTTGGCTTTAAATGGTTAACGCATACCAGTCAGCTATAATTTTAGCACGGTGCTCAGCATACGCCATGCACTAGCGATGTCTAATTTTAGAATCGAACTGTCATCTCTAAGAATTTCAAGGACGGATGTGATGGATCGATGTTTATACCACCTCCACACAATGACTGTGCACAACCTTAAAAGACTCGCCAATTTGTTCGATACTGTTCTTTGTATAAGGCTTTTAATATTACTTACCTTTCCAGCTCAAATTCCTTTCATACTGAACGTCGCTCAAATCTCGGCCTGGAAATCGGCAATCGCGAATGAGGAGTTTCGTGGTTTTCCTCGGTTTCTCCTAAAGGGAGGTCCTGATCTTTCTGGGATAGGCCGTGAAGCAGCCCGTTACTGACTGCCACCTTCCGAGTCAACCAAAATTCGTAAATTAATTTCGCAGAATACAGAAGCCAACTGGCAGAAACTTTAAACTTAAAATTCCGCCAAGAAACCTTACGAACGAGTCGCTACTGTTAAATGCACACATACCATTCGCCTCTTTTTTTTTTGAGGTATAAGAAATTACACGTTTTAACTCCTTCTCCAAGGACGGCGTAAAGAAAACTTATATTAACCACATTTGCTGTAATTGACAGCGATTCCTAACACATTCCGACCAGTTCATCAGTCTGATTCAATGCGACATAATCTCAGCAGTTGATACAACATAATCAATAACACGCCTAAGGGAATTTGACAACGGACTAGATGGAGCGCCAAGAATTTTGACTTCTGCACTGTCATTAATAAGTTCAGGCGCCATCCTTTATCTGCAAATTAACAACGAGAAATCCACGGGTCTGATATGCCAGCCGCTTGCAAATGATTGAGGTTAGGAAAATAAGTGACGTCAAGGACGCGATCATGTAATCGGTACAAACAACAGATGTTTCTGCCGTAGAAAGTTCGTGTAATCTACAATACATTTGAAGCAGTCTCAACCCGCAATTTCGCTTGCATGCAGTGCTGGTCTTGTGTATGTCTAAAGCCCGGTGGTAACTATATCTACCACCTGCTGTAACAATCAGAAAGTAACTCTGCAATTTACGGTAACGGGTTTCATGTGATTCTCGGAATAAACTTACTATTATTTCCTTAAACAGCGTTAACCACTTGGTCTTTGTAATGGTGAAGTGAAGTGTTTTCTTCGCGGTACGGACCGAATTCTTATATAATATTTAGACTAGCTTCGGTTTAAAAGAGTTATAGAAATTTTCGTACTTCGAAGCCTTTCTGTGATAACATCCGAAAAAGAACTGCATTGTGGTTCTACTTTCTTTTGAATAGTGAAAGCTATAAACGCATTTGTACTAATAAGACACGACATAAATCCATTCCTGAGTATAAATAAAACTTAAGCTATAGGCATCCCGATTTTAACGCCATTACAGTGAAGAAGACATTTATGAGAGTAGCAGATTATATAACAATGATACAAAAGTTGTATTTGAAATAAATAAATTTTCAAACATCCACAAATCTTTTACGATAAAGAAACTTATTTCAGCTAACAAAAAAGCTTGACATTTCAGACGTCCATCGTGATTTCACCACGGTTGTCAACCTGTATTAAGTAATTTGGTGTGCAGTGGAACATTGCACAACACCTCGTAATAACATCCGTTCTAACCTCACTCTCCCTCGATCGGTAAACGAGTCTGTTCGTGAACTTAGCGAGTGTAACGTCGGTCGTGAGCGGATGCAGTTGTGTGTGTTGTCAAGTGTTAGAAGATGAGTAGAAGTTATTCCGTCGCTGCCAGTTATTAAGAAGTTGCAAGCTGTGACTTGGAACAGCCTGTCCAGACATCAAGTAAGTAATTTGTATTAATACTTCAGTAAACTTGAAGAAACGTATGTGCATATAATTTTAATACAAAGTTCAGGTTGAGTAAAAACAAAAGGCAAATAGCTTATGGATAGATAATGGGCATTGTTGTTTATCCTAATAATACTAATTTTAAATGTTATATATACATCGTGCATTTATAACATTGTTATATTTAAAAAGAAGAGCATTATCGAAAAATCTATTGAGACGAGTTGAAATCGGAAAGATCGAATATCGTATTCTTTGTCAAGCTAACACTAATCGATATATCGCATCATGTTAAGTTTATTTCATAACATAACGTACGAGATTTATTTAATTCAGTATACACTACGTAATTTATCGTGCAAATGTCTTTGTTCGTTTATTACGTACAGTTCAGTATAGAACAATTTGGTCTGTACAGAATTACATGTTTAACAGACAAACGTGTCATTATAAGGCCTCATGGTTTTGTCGTGCGATAAGAATGCGGTGTAATGCCCCCAAGGTCTTGCTTTGGAAATTCCTGCTCAGTTTAGTTCCAAGCCACGAGGATATAAACCAAGTAGATTTGCTTAACAAAAGCGTCGTAACTCGTACGTAGGTCGGCGTGTTTGCTGGTTTTCACCGACAGCGTAATAATAAATAAAGCAGATCGACGGATACAATGAACATTCCCCCAAACACTGAGAACACGTGTTCAGTTTTAACTTGTAGTAGCTCTTGGCTGGACGACTGGGTTCGATTTCTGTCAAGGGCAGAAATGTTTCTCCTCACCACCACGTGCAGGCTGGCTCTGAAGGCCACCCAGTTGACCCCCGGTTTTACGAATATTTTTCCCCCCCGATATAGTAATGTTTGGTTATGATCCTCCAAAGTCCAGTTGTAACTATATGTACCAGCTGTTTAAATAATCAATATCTCTGGCTTTAGTTTCGTTAATGAGCGTTGACCAGTTGAACTTTTTAATGGTGGAAGTGGTTTTAAAGTTGTCTGAGGTCAATGAACTTTGCGTTTTTCGTAGTATTTGTGCCTGACTGGGAAGATATCATCACGGAGGATTCCCCCACACGGTTGCACGTCTAACTTCGAATTCTCCTCATTCTCGTCATTTCTAAACTCAACAATAATACTGAAAAACTGAACAAATCTCTCGCCTTCTTTTCTGCAAGGGAACCTTTGTGGTTCCAAAAAAAAAAGAAATCATTGCTTTGACCACAGCCAGACGCAACTGGAGCGTATCTGTGCCTCTTTACGAAGTTAGCAGAGCATTAAGAAAGTTTACAGTTTGCTTTAAGTTAATGCATCATACAGTTATAATGATACTGTGTCTCCTCAAATTTAAGACGTACTTTTCACATTTTAAAATGTATTTTCTGGGTACGTCTTACATTTGATGATGTCTAAGAATGGATACAGCGTCTCTTTTAACCAGAAAAGCTATTAATAAATCAAGTGCGCGTCTTATTATCGAGGAAATACGGTGATTATTACAATTTTGTGACATAAAATCTAAATGACCTTTTGAAACCGAAGCTCGTTTAAATAATATTTAAGGATTCAGTCCGTACCGCGAAGAAAACACCACACTTCACCATTACAAAGATCAACTTTTTAACGCTGTTTAAGGAAATAATCGCTAAGTAAGATTTGAGGTTTTCACGGCGGTGAGTCTGAAGATGGGTTGTTGCGTCGTGCAGTATGGTAGAAGTGTACCGACGTTTCGGAGGTCCTCGCTACCTCAGTCATCGCGGCGTTAAGTCTTATTGGCCTCTCCACATGGGTTTACAAATGACGAACTTAGGATAGTCGGTAATTTGAGCGAGATTCGAACCAGGTTCCTTCAATCGCGAGTCTGACGCATTGCCGCGTGGGTCAGTCTGATCGTGATCGGGTGGTAAGCGATTTGAATACCGATCGGACACGCGAGTCATAGGAGACAGTCTCAATTACAAGGAAGCTGTCTCTCTCTACCAGTCAGGCTCACATGTTGATTGTTATATAACCTGTCATTGGCTCACACCAGTCGGTGGATAACCGTGAGTCACATGTTCCCTGTAAAAACATAATCATCTGTCATGTTCGTGAGAAAACATAATTAGCGGAATGTTGATTCTTTTGTCCGGGGCGATGAAAAAATCTGCTGAGATTTGTCAGTCAGCCTGATGTTGTGACATCAAGGTCTGTCATCTTTTCTTAGTTTTATTATTACTTTAGGAAATTGCGTAATCTTAACCTAGACGTCCCAGTACACGTCATTTAACACTAAATAACTCTGCATGTTTCGTATGTTTCTCACTGTAAACATCGATCATTTTCTTAAACAGCGTTAACCAGTTGATCTTTGTAATGGTGAAGTCTTGTGTTTTCTTCGCGGTACGGGCTGAATTCTTTAGTATTAGACGATCCTTGGGCTTCGGCTTAGAGACCGTGTATTCTGACAAGTACCTCAAAGCAGGTCACTACCGTTTCCTTCAACATCCTTTCCAACTCATTATTTATTAATGATCTTATCAATTAACGCTGTTTAAGTCTGAGCTAAAGATAACGCCGATAAGTAAACCACAAGTAACTGACAGCATCGTAAAATACTTCTGTGACGTCAGGGAAACCTATATAATTCAGTTCAGACTATTTTAACGTCGTGTTCTTTCAACAAAGAAAGCGATAATACGGCTGTTCTATTCTAAAAGTGCCCATTGAAGACAATATTAAAAAGTAACTCTAAAAATATCACTGTGTTAACTTAAAACACTTCATTTAAGCGTCACCTGGAGTGGGCTTCACAAGTTTCCAAGGAACATCTTCTGTTTGCTGTGATGTACGTGTTGGAAATAGGTCTCTAAGATCTTCATTTTGGTTTTCCTGAAAGAAAACAATTTGTTTGCGTCAAAATATACTAAAGCAAGACAGAATTCATGCAACACGTACTTAATACAATTATACAAGACAAAACAAATGAACAGTGGGAACAAAAATATCACAGCTGTTAACAATGACGTGAATGAATTTAATAAAAGTTGCAGAATTGATAAGAAAAGTGAGAAGGGTGATTTTTTAACGTTTTGATATCCTCGCTTTACCATTTTTAGGATTACTAAAGCCGAGGTTTTATGGATTGTTTAGTTGTAGTCCTTTAGGTCATTAGCAACGTTTCGGAGGAACGTATCGCCTCCATCTTCAGGGTTTTCTACAAGACGACATGGCATCACAATACAGAATACCACAGACGGCATTTTTACACCGCCGTGAAAAACCCAGTTCTTACTGAGGTGTAAAAATGTAGGCCTTAATACGTATTCTGCTTTTACTTCAATATTTTCGAGAGAAAAAAAATTTGAACTTTTTTTTGAATTTTTCTGAAAATTATGTTTCCAAATTTAATCAAAATCCGTTCACTGAGATCATCTGTGATGGTGGACGGACACGCGGAAGATAAATGTAATGATCCTTCATGTTTCGTTCACAAATACTATTAAAATATGCATGGGACTTATTCTTTCTTGACTTGACAGTGAAGTGATCAATAATAAAAGCAGCGAATTAAAGTTGAATTTTTACGTTTTGGAATTTTTAAGACGACAGGCAAAGAAAAGAGTTAATAAACAGGAAAACCTGAAGGTAACTAACTGTCTTCTGGGATGTTGTGCCGTGTACCCTACTAGAAAAGTGACCCGACGTTTCGGAGGTCCTTTTTGTCTCCATTATCAGGGCATTTGTTTTACCAGGTCTGCAAAGCCGTGTTATCATCAAAGGACGAGTTATCAACACCCACCTCCAAATTACTAATCTAAGTTTAAAAGTTATCATGGTGCACTTCGTGTAACATTGCCTTAACTGACGAATTGCACCACTGCCTCGTGTCAGCAGAACATTAAAGAGTGGTATATATTTTCAGCATTCAGATCATATTGAACATTCGTGCGTTGTGCAAATTTACGAAAATGTCCTCGAAATATAAATCACCGAAATGAATTTGTGTAGACCGCTCTCTCAAGTGTCCGCCGCATGGAAATGAAAGTCCATAGCAGTAGTTATCTATGGTCAATAACACAATCCACAGGTAATACCAATACCAATCTGTAATGTTGGTGAACCTGTGCTCATGCGAATTTTGTCTATAGCAATTGGAATTTATTTTACCTCAATGAGTAGATTATTTTCAATTATTGATCTATCGACCTCTAGAAGCACACTGTTCTTCTTCCTGCTCATGGTTCTGGATAAAGACTCAAAACAGACACTACTGACCAACTAACAACGAACAACCGACGTGATTTCACCTCCTCTTGTTTGCTTCAACAGTTTACAATCCAAACCGGGAAGAGTGCAGCACAGTAGTAATCTAAGTGGGAAATGGAGGACACAGCAATGGATGTGTTTTGCAATTCCACGTTTTGGGTAAGCTTTTAGAATATAAGTATACAATTTATGTTTGTGTTTGTGGTATTTTCTGAAGTTTATATGTTTGTGTAATCAATATATACAAAAATGTAACAACGAAAATCAGTTTTTATGGCCTTTCGTTTTACGAAGAGGTAATGTTACATGACCCAAGAATATCATTACATGTGACAGTTCAAAGCACTGTTCATTATTCTGTAGTTTGTCTCTGAGAAGGCGTTACAAAATATGATTTTGAATTACTTTATAACACCGCCGATTTACCGACTGCCCCATCGGTTTCTTTTTTAATTCCTGTGTTACTCCAGGCTGTTACTGGAATATTACCTTAAAATAGGCTGCGACGTGAAAATGTGTGTTGTTAACCCCATAAAACAATAGTGTAGTGGACTGTTATAATTCAGAATTAAATCTGAAAGTATGAATTATAAGTTTATGTATTTGTTGGTGTGTTGCGAGCCAGGACAGTACTTGTCACAAACACATGTATCTGCTTCTCTTCACAGAATTCCAATGAAACATGGTACACTGAAAACCCAGAATTGTCACCATGTTTCCAGAATACAGTACTGGTATGGATTCCATGTCTCTTTCTGTGGGTGTTCTCCCCTCTGGAGACATACTACATACTTCACAGCAAGACAAGGAACATTCCTTGGAACTGGCTCAACATCACAAAACTTGTAAGTGTTCAGCACAATCATTATTAAAGACACATGATGGCACACCACAGAATTTTGCCTAATGGAACATTGGTTCCAGTGGCAAGCACGCTAACCTCTAGTCCACTGAAGGCAATGATATGTTTAAATAATCCTATATTAAATTTTGTGTTCTTGTGGTTACAGGTTCTAACTGTTGTGCTGGTGATATTAGCAACTGCTGACTTGGGACGTTCAGTTCATTTGAGTGCTAATGGTGAAAGTGTATCATCTGCAGACTTCTATTCACCTATAATTAAAATAGCAACATTTGTAAGTGATTTGATTTCTTAGATCTTATTTATTTTTTTAAGAGGTGTGTAATGTTAAAATGTGTGGGTTTTTTCATCCACTGATTTCCATTTTCTTTATCTCAAAAGAGTTTCTCGGGAGTGTTGGTCGTGTACAACCGTGTTCGTGGAATGAGGACATCGGGTCTACTTTTCCTGTTCTGGTTTCTTCTGGCACTGTGTGGCGCAGTGCGATATCGTTATGAGCTCACTGTCACGAACATTGAACAGGTAACTACATGCCTGTATCTGGCCACATTCGTCAGCACCTTGGAATCGAAATATTTGCCGTCCTTTGTTACTTTCTGAATGGATGTACTGCGTAGGCCACCAAGAATTAAGAAGCCATTTTGCTGATGTATGCTGTTCAGGGTCGTGGCACTGTGCGAAGTGGTCGGTAGATGCCGGCACGTCGGAGAAGCTTGCCGTCTGAAATCTCAGATGGTTTTACTGCCGTGGGCAGGCTGGCTTGTTGTGGCGCATGCATTAGGAAGTTACTGCGGAACAATCAAGATAAATCTGGTCCAGTACATCGCTAGAATAATAGTGTGAACAGAAGACTTAACTTTTTTTTTAAACTTTGGTATACATTTTACCAGAAAATATTTTAAAAAAAAAATAGTCTTCTCAGAAACCTGCAGTGATACGGTGATTTATAGTCTTTACAGAAACCTGCAGTGATACGGTGATTTAATAACTTTTGTTTGCGTACTGCGCAAAGGAAATTTTAATTATCGTTAGGCTCTGTATTCAGTTTTTTTCATTTCCATTTTTGAACAGACATTGCACGGATCTGTATTGCGAACATATTCTTCTTATTTTCCTTCACTTGTTTAAATAAAGTAATTTGAAATGTTTCTTGTGTGTTAATACAGGAGGACCGGTTCTTTTCGTTTGTCAGTTACATGATATACTATCCTCTGGTTCTTGCCATGCTGATTTTCAACTGTTTTGCCGATGCCCCTCCTCGATTCTCAGAGTATCCGCTCGTTGAAGTAAGTGAAAAGGTTGATTAATTAACTCTGTCCCTCGTGTTCTTTCAAAGTTCGTCTACACATGTAGGATAGGTGTTAACTATTGAGGAACAATTAATTTAGCTTCTTGTTTGACAATATATATATATAGTGTGTTTATCCCCCCCAAAAATTTTAGAGACCGTGCCCCGAACAAGGTGCCTCATTTCTATCCAAACTATTCTTTGCTTGGTTCGATGCGCTCGCATGGAGAGGTTTTCGTAAACCTCTGGAGACGAAAGACCTCTGGAATATGAATCCTGAAGATACTGCGAGTGAAGTTATTCCCGCTTTTGACAAATACTGGGAGAAAACGCTTCGGAAAACATCAAAGTAAGTCGTCTTACTTTTATGTTAATATTAAGATGAATTGTAAGTGTACTGGAAAGTGATCTAATTTAAATATTGTTCAGTATGATGGATTTCAGTCTCGTTCATGTCTCGAGTAAAACTGGCGTTGTCTAAGACTACGAAATCGGGTATGCGCCTACACGTTTGTTTATATATGTATATACTTTGATGTTGTTTGATACCTTGTAACATACAAATATTTGTTTTTGCTTGCCAAGGATGTTCTGGGAGTATTTCGGGTAAGTCCGATAACCGTGCTTGCTTGGAAGTTTAAAGCCGTATCATTACGAGATTTGATACGCGATTTCAATCGCAAGAAATTAATTAATCGGCGCTTTTAAATTGTAGTGTTCCGAGTCCCAAAGCCTCGTTCAGAAAAACGTCAGGAAATGTGGATTTTGTTGGTGGGAGACACTGGAAAAAACAACAAGCGTCAGTTCTTCCAGCGTTGTGCAGAGCCTTCGGCCCCACGTTATTGTTTGGTTCATTCCTGAAACTGGTGCAAGATATTATGATATTTATCAGCCCGCAAATATTGAAGTGAGTATAAACGTAGCGGCACGGTAGAAATTAAGTCCAGATAGCAAATGTGTGTGACCAAAACATTAATTAGTATTGCATTTTTATTTTTATGCAGTGATTAATACAAAGTCTGGTTTCGTAATTTCAGGTTGCTCATTTCGTTCGTTGAAGGCAAAGAATCTTTATGGAAGGGCTACTTATATGCCATACTCATATTTGTCGCAGCATCAGCACAAACGCTGGTTCTGGCTCAGTATTTCAACCGCATGCTTTTGGTTGGTCTTCGTATCAGAACCGCGCTCATTGCTGCCATATATCGTAAGGTAAGTAATAAATTATGTAGTTCAGTCATAATAAATCTAAAAAAGAAATCATGAGGGTGGATCGAGATATAATATAGGAGATCGAGAAAAGACAACTGATTTGGTTGGACACGTGCAAAGGATGGAGGAGGAAAGGTTACCAAAGAAGACTATGAAATGGCGACCAAAAGAGAGGAAAACCGAGACCAGGATGGAACGACAGAATTACAAGAATCATGATAGAGTGGGAACTACCTCTGGAAGGATGGGAAAATAGAGAAGAATGGAAGAAAATATTAGGCTCCGGAAGACCAAAATAACGCTCAAGAAACGGAAGAAGAAGAAGAAAAATATTTATTGATATATAAGCATGCACATTATCTACTAGTGGTTGTGATAGTTTCTGTCGTGCCATATGGCAGCGGATTTTTATAGTGTGAACATTAAACTGATCAACGACGACCAAAAGAGAGGAAAACCGAGACCAGGATGGAACGACAGAATTACAAGAATCATGATAGAGTGGGAACTACCTCTGGAAGGATGGGAAAATAGAGAAGAATGGAAGAAAATATTAGGCTCCGGAAGACCAAAATAACGCTCAAGAAACGGAAGAAGAAGAAGAAAAATATTTATTGATATATAAGCATGCACATTATCTACTAGTGGTTGTGATAGTTTCTGTCGTGCCATATGGCAGCGGATTTTTATAGTGTGAACATTAAACTGATCAACGACTTGAAAAACAGTTTATCTTCGGAAAGTTTCCACTTTAATGTTGGCCTTCACCGTTGGCTTCATTCTATTTTCACATTTACTATAGTTGATATAATAAAATTTGCCTGTGTTAAACATAGAAATTTTTCTAATCAAAACAATGTTCGATACTTTCCCTGAATATTTTGTTTTTCATTCTGTAGAGTGGAAGTGTTTTGCGTTTACGTCTCGGTTGTAATTTATCGCGTGGATGCTTCGTTAAAGAATTTCGATTTCTCCCGAGTATCATTTCTGTGATAATTTTGTTACTTTTATGTAGGCCTTGCGTATGTCAAACACGGCACGGAAGGAATCTACCGTCGGTGAAATTGTGAATCTCATGTCTGTGGATGCTCAAAGGTTCGTGGAACTCACCGCTTATCTCAACATGATCTGGTCAGCCCCACTGCAGATCGCTCTTGCGTTGTACTTCCTATGGGACACTCTTGGTATGTTAACGCAAATGCATATTGACTGTTATTCAGAACGCTAGACAATGGTTTTGGCGAACTGTTACTTTATTGTTTATGGGACAACTTGCTTTAGTAAGAATGTGTATTCCCAGTTCATAATTGAAGAACACAAATTAACCTAATAACCTAACTCAACATAAGGCAACCTAACCTAACTCAACATAAGGTGACCTAACCTAACCTAACTCAACATAAGGTGACCTAACCTAACCTAACTCAACATAAGGTAACCTAACCTAACAATTTTGCAAACTCAATGGCCATTGCTCTTTTTGCAGTAGCTACTTTCTCTCAACAACTAAAGCTTTAGAAGTTGTAAATTTATTTTTCAGGTTTACCTTTTAGACACGTAGCATCTCTGACCGCTTTACATTCTTCCTAATAAATATCATTCATATTAATTATAAAAGGAGATTCTTTCAAAATGTGCCTGTTAGGTGATTGCGTAGCGACAAAGGAGTAGCTGTTGACACCGTCACTGATTTATTATGGTGAATTTTGTTTCTTGTAGGTCCATCTGTTCTTGCTGGATTGGCAGTAATGATAATTTTGATTCCTGTGAATGCAGTTATTGCCAATCGCGTAAAGACGTTACAGATCCGACAGATGAAGAGCAAAGATGAACGTGTGAAGTTGATGAATGAGGTAAAGTCTTCAAAGTTGTCTCTCCCTCTTCCCCCCCCCCCCCCCGTAAACTTATTAATGCAAATTCTGGATTCTTTTAATTCTTCATATAGGTGCTGAGTGGTATTAAGGTGTTGAAACTGTATGCATGGGAGCCATCATTTGAGCAACAAATTCTTAAGATACGTGAGAAGGAAATTGCTGTGCTTAAGCAGGCGGCTTATCTCAACGCAAGCACATCATTTATTTGGTCGTGCGCGCCATTCCTGGTAAGTTCATAACAGCCTACAGCCTAATGGCTTTCCTCAAACTAGTATCTTATGAGAAATTGGCCCTTTTGGGGCCTCTGTGGTGGTTCACAAAATTTTGTGTGTTTGCTTTAAATCTTTTAGGTACCCTGTTGTATGCTGCTAACATTTTTGTTAAATCGTGAAGATTTCAAGGCACCATTTTTCATGTAATTAAATTTGATTGAAAATGAAGATGAAATTGTGTTCGATTTGTGACGCCATGTGGACACATACGTAGATACCAACATTTTGGAGAAGTAGATCGTCTCCATCTTTGCCATTAGAGCCTCTGATTTTATGTTTTGTTAGAAGATAAGCAGTTACTTTCTCATTTGCTAAATGAAGTATCTTCAATAAGATTGTAGGTATGTAATTTACAGATACTTGAGTAATGCCTTGTGATAACAGAGAACATACTACAGTTTTGGATGTGAGTCAGTTTGATCGCCATTTGTGATTTTATTTGTGTATATCACTTGTTCATGTCATGTTTAGGTGTCACTGGCTTCTCTTGCCACATACGTCTTGGTGGATCCTAGCCACGTTCTGGATGCTGAGAAGGCATTTGTCTCCCTGTCCTTGTTCAATATTATTCGAATGCCAATATCTGTAATTCCTTTTCTTATCATCACTTTGGTACAGGTCAGTGTAACGACTGTAATACTTGCGTATGTAGTTCGTTTTAAGTATCGCTTTACATTTCACGTTATTAGGTATCACTGGTCTCCTTTGGCACGTTTGTCCTGTCGGATCCAAACAACATTCTCGACTCGAAGACAGCGTTTGTCTCGCTATCACTCTTCAATATACTGCGTTTCCCCCTCTCTATGTTGCCTATGCTGATATCAAATCTGGTGCAGGTAAGCAGGGACTGAGTTACTAACATCGCATAGAAACACTGCTTTATGGCTTGTCGGCTTGTGCACGCTGCCATTGTACATAGCTTTATATTACGGTGCATCTAGGATTAAGGAAATATTCCCGACTGTGGCTAATTGCGTAAGCGTGGCTCTAAAAAAAATTTAGTTTGTCTTTTATCCTTATATTTTTCTATAGTTTTATTTCAACATATGACAACGCTTCGGGTTCAACCAATTCTCTAGAAAGTCAGAATGAAAATGTTCTTGTTACCAAGTGTAGATAGAACTCTGGGTTATTTTTATTTGATAAATTTTGGGGGTGAAATTATGGGTTATGAGCGGGTAAAAATATTTGTTGTTTTCGTATAAATGTTTCTGTGGCATGAATGTTGATTAAGCACAAAGTATTAACAGCATACCGGATGTGCAGTATATTTGTTGAATTTTTAAATAAAATTTTATTTCCAGCCGACAATGTAAGCCCTACATCATATATTTTATTTTAGTCTCATGCTTCAAGCTTTACAATTCATACGAGGTATATGGTACGTAGGATGAACTTGAGGCTGTGTATATAAATAAATATAATTTTAAAATGTTAAGACGCTTTTGAGTTTTGAGACCTGTCACTGACAGCTTTTGGTTGTGTTCTTACAATGAGTACTTTGTTAGTTTATCGTATCGAATTGCCAGCATGTAATAACTTGCTTGAGTGGTTGGTACATTACGAGTTGGGTAGTGTTGTGCATGTGTTTACGTATGGTGCTCGGTTGTGCATTAGAGAACGTGAGCTTCTCTTTTAGGAAAAGTAGAAAATTAAAATGTTACAGCACGGCCATAATTGTTTTTATTGTAAGGCTTTTGTATTATAATTACATTGGTTCAGTTCTCTTCAGACCAAACATTGTCCACAGATTTATACATAGTAAGGCTTTTTATTTAAACACACTCTTATGAAGCAAGATATTATTAATTAAACTCTTTTTTTCCAAGTTTTCTTTAAAAAAAAGGCTTTCAAACACGTATACAGGTAAGCCCCGCTTTACGACGCTTCATTTTACGCTGTTTCACATTTACGCCCTTTCAAAATAATAATGAAAAAATAAAAATATAAGAAGAAAATTTAAAAACGCAGCACAGGAAGTGGGTACCTAGGCCGTGTGGGCATCAGTCGCTTTCTCCTCGTCCTGCGAGTACAATACATTATAATTGTTCCTCATTTATGCCGCTTCAGCTAACGACCCTGAGGAGGTGGAACGTAACCCCGGCGTAAATCAGGGCCTACCTGTATATCTTAATATATTACGGCAAGCTATTATTTTTAGTAATAAATTGTTATATTACTTGAAATGAAGAACGTGTGATTTTGGTGTAACTTCCAGGCCAGTGTTTCCATCAAGCGTGTGAACAGATTCATGAACTCTGAAGAACTGGATCCTAACAGCGTGCAGCACGATCAGTCTGAAAGTAAGTTGCTCTTCTATACAATGAAATTTTCATTAGTGTAACTTTCTTGAGGCTGTAACAAAAATGATTCTTAACTGAGAATACATCCTTCTGAAAATGCGCGTATTTCATCTTTCTGGAGATGAGACAGTCAGAAGTGACTGTTTTAGACATAAGAAAACTTCCTAGTGAGCATTATAATGTGATTCTTCATTTAACATTTTAAGGGGACAAGAAATATATGGTATAATAGCATTTCAGTGAAATTGTACTCAAATCTAATAAGTAGATGATTTGTGATGTTTATTCCATGATGTAATCAGAGAGGTTTCAGGTAATTACAGTGGCAGATAAGAAGATGAATATCTTCTGTATTGTATAGTCCCGTCACTGTGATGATCGAGGTGGCAAGCACCTCTGAAGTGTCTGAACTTCTGCCAGAGTGTGGCGCATCAACGCAGCAGAAAGTCATCCTACAAATCTTAGTGTGTCTTAATAAAACCTGGTACCTCTTCATAAAATGTTTTATTGGTTAAAATATTATAAATATGTTTTGATATATGAATTGACATCGTCATTGGCATTTTTTTAATTAAATTTGTATACTGCTGACTTCTGGATGACCTGAGCTATGTGACAGCCGTGAAAGGTATATGCTTACAGTATACATTTTAATGTACTACAGATAGTAATGCTGCCGTGATTACACCAGAATTATTGCATTTTCATTGATGTGTCAGTACTGCAAAATTATCACAAATCAACATTTGTCTATTATACAGACTTATCTCTATTCTTATTTAATAGATAGAAACGCTTTGAGATTCCTCTATTTCCCTCAGTTGTTATATGAGATTTTTTACTTTGTACTTATTTGTAAAGGTTATGTTAAAATCATGCTAAAATATTCTGTTAAAGTAATTTTAACATACGTGATAAAATATAATGATAATGGAACTGAAAATGTATAATTTGTCGATAATAAATTGGTGTAACTTGTTTATTTCAGAGAATCATCTGGTAATTGAGAATGGTAATTTTTCGTGGGGATCCGAAGATCAAGTAATCCTGCGTAACATCAATCTCAGCTTTAAGCAGGGTTCTCTTGTGGCTGTCGTTGGAACTGTCGGTTCAGGAAAAAGTTCACTTATATCTGCTTTTTTGGGAGAAATGGACAAAATCACTGGCAGAGTCAACACCAAGGTTCGATATGAAAATAGCGTATGAGATATGTTTTGTAACTTTATAAACTGATTTTTGCTACAGCAAAACTAAAGGACAGAACAACTATCAAAATTTTCCTAATCAATGTAAGAGTCTTCCTGATTGCACGCAGTGCCTCTGGTGGTCCTGTCATTTATTGAAGCAGCTCTGGTACGCTTTCTTTTGCTGCGACATTTATTTTCGACATCACACGTTGGTGTTTCAGAATTTTCTTTCCTTTTAAGGCGCCGTTCGGTTTGGGGGACAGTAAATTATCGCTTGGTGTCGTGTTATATTAATTTTGTTTCTGTTCCCAGGGTTCAATTGCATACGTCCCACAACAGGCGTGGATACAGAATGCAACATTGTTGAATAACATCATATTTGGCAAGTCGCTCGATCATTCTTCATACCAAAGAATTATTGAAGCTTGCGCTCTGAAACCTGATCTTGAGATGCTTCCAGCTAGTGACCAGACAGAGATTGGGGAAAAGGTAGGGAATATTGTGTGTCGTTCATATCTCTTGAAAACATAAAACAGAGCCAGAGCTCGTCTAAGTAGTTGCTTAAGAATTTTTGTCACGATAAATAATTTAGTTTCAACTGAAATTATCAAGTCCAGATGCTTGCGTATTGTTTTATCGTTCAAATAGCTCATTCAAGACTGCCATTTTTATCCTGCTGTGTGTTTTAATTCCACGGATCCAGATTTCCAGCAAGTGAAATGCAGTAGTAAGTCTGAAGCTTCTGGACACCAAAACTCATTTTTGTGTAATTAATAATTTAGAAGAAATCCAGTATCTTCTTTGTCATAAAATTTTGTGGCATAAACAAATTAAAGTTATGAAAATCAGCATCCCCCCCCCCCCCCCCCCCACCC